GAGCAACACTCGTTTCGGAGGCTCGGACCTGGAGCATCCAAAACCGGCCGGTCCTGGTGGATTATGCTCTGCTCCCCTTCAACCAGCTTAGAAAACCCAGAACTCCTGCCTTTGACATACAAATTGGGTTAAAAAGTCAATTATTTACCCAATTAAGTGTTGTGAGGCTCCACTCAAATGGAAAAACAAGAGCTGTTTAAAAAGGCCTGTTTCTAATTTTACTGGATGAAAAATAGGTGATATTTAGATATTTATATCTAATTGCCAGGAAGCACAAACAGAGGGAAGGTGGAAGTAAAAGTGCCTGAAACCATTGAAATGAACCGAGTTCTGCTCCTCCAGTTAGGGCCTGAAGACATATCAAAATATATGAATAAATAAACGAATGAATGACAACCTACAAGAAAACTGGGGAAGAACTGAGATGAAAAGAGAACATTTTGACACCAAATGTAAAAGCCAGACTAACCCAAAAAGGTCAAATTAAACAAGAGGCTTACGATCCAGTTCTGGTCACAAACCAGCTTTTAAAGAGAAATTTTTCTCCTCCAGAGTTAAATCTGTTCATGCATTTGGGTGTTAATGATGGATTTGGCTCCCAGAAAGGAGGATTTCTGCCATTTCTGTCTGATTTGTGCCTGTAGAATAGCGTCCCAGATCATTTTAGAGACATTTACAGACATAAAACAAGACTTTATTCACATTTATTAGCTGGACGGGTTTGTTACTGAATGCATGCAGATGTGACTTGAATAGTCAGATGTTTTTTGCCTTGAAAAGGCGTAAACACAGCAGATTTGAACCCGGCAGCGAATGGCGTCCAGGTTCGAACAGCCGAAATCAAATGAAATTCCCGCCGATTATAAAAGAGGAACCGGCGATTTGGGGGGGCCGGTTTCGGTCTCTGTGGCTTTGTAGTCCTTCACCTGCAGGCCCAGTGGGAGCAGAGCCGGTTATTTATGGCAGCAAAGCGCCCGTCTGACCTCACAACCGAGGAACAGCTGCCGTCAGGGCGGCTCGCCACCAACCGCTGGCTGCCAATGTGGGTCAGAGACGAGGCGGGGGGG